ATATATATATATATATATATATATATATATAATAATTTGCAGAAATCATTCATCTATGTACGTTTCATTGAACATGATTGAAAAGGGAAGTTTTATAAGTTTTTCATCATATGTTACTAGTGTCCCTACTGTTTTTTTATTTCATGAGGACTGAAAATGTGGGAGGGGTATGGTAACTCACGCCATGAAGGGACAAGGAACGAAGAAGAAGGAGGAGGTGGTGGAGATGATATGGGATGAGGAAGGACGGAATATGTAGAAACTGTACCTGGTGATTATTATCCCCAAAACTTTCGATTAATTCCTTAGCCATTTTTAGAGAATTCTTTGTCTGAATATTTTTTATTTTTCTATAAGTGCGACACTGAGATCCGTAGACGTATTGGGATGGCCAGGGCACATTCAAAAAGCTGGGCAAGTATTGCGAGACAGGAAGATTTCTTTGGTAATGTTGAAACTTGACTAATGCATGGAATAATAATGCAACACAAAATGTACTTAGAACAAAATGTATTGAAACAAGAAAGTGTACACAATATTTACATATAGTCTTTTGTATATTCCTGGTAAGACCGTTCCTGGAGAATGTGTTGACTGAGTCGCAGTCGGGCAGAGTCTCTGGTTGAATCTCTTGATTCCTTCCTCTCTTCCCGGTACCAAGCATATTTATATGGTCGGTACTTCACTATGCAAATTAGGTGGATCCTACCACAACAGGTAACCAAGAAAAGAATACTGAGCTGTTACGTGACATCTGTCCTTCTTTACGGCAGCGAATGTTGGACGATTTCTTCAAAGATGAAGAAGAGACTTGAAGCGACGGAGATGTGATTCTACAGGAGGATGCTAAGGATATCATGGACCGAGGGTGTGGGTAACAATCAGGTCTTAGAAAGGATGCAAACAGGGAGGAGGCTTATACTTAACATCAAAAAGAGGCAGCTAAAGTTTTCTGGGAAACATAATGAGGAAGGAGAGCCTGGAGAGGCAAAGGAAAACAACGCTTGACATACCTGGCCGGCTTAAGCAAATGGATGACACAACGTGGTCTAGGGGAAGTAGCAGAGGGAAGAAACCTCTTGAGAGGTGCAAGGGGTAGAGGGAAGTGGGCATCCATGATAACCTACGCCTTGAAAGGACATGGTATGAAAAGAAAGAAGATTCCAGTCTGTAATTTTAGGAATTTCCATACTGACGTACCTTGAGAATTTCCATACTGACGTACCTTGAGAACTCTTCCCAATACGTTATGACTAGTTTCAAATCACCAAATATTGAATGTATATCTTTACTGCTTTATCAACAGTGCTTCCATTATCTTTAAACGCTTTTTGAAATTAGATGTGTCTAAAATTACAGTACTATCTACAAGGATCTTTCTCAAGGGAGCGGAGAGTGCGGTTATGTTAAAGGTTAGTTTATACGAACAGGAGAGGCTGATAACGGTTAACTCTCTACATGAATGGATAAAGACTGTAGTGATCAGAGAAACATCCTCTTTCGAATCTGTTCCCCAGAGCAACGGTTCGCGGGAAGATGCTGTTTGAGAGGAACTTACTTCTCACCGATGAAATACGGTGAGAAGTGAATAAAAAGAAATATGTATCAACACGGTAATTTTCTCTCGTCCTTTAATAAAGACACCAAAAACTTATCCGTGAATATGAAAGGATCCTATTGAAAATAAGTAGACAGAACATGTCTAAATTATTCATCGAAACATGTCTCAAATATATATATATATATATATATATATATATATATATATATATATATATAGATAGATAGATAGATAGATAGATAGACCTAGTGAGCCAAACAAACCTACCCAGGTTTCACCTAAGGGATCGTCAGGAAAAGCTGATACTCACGGGTCGAATAGATATATACTTTCCCTGACGATCCGCTTAGGTGAAACCGGGGTAGGTTTGTCTGGCTCACTAGGTTTATCTAGGACTGCTCTACGGTTGTATTGAGCTCTTTTGTTAGTTAGTTGTTTACACGTATCGCGTTTTTTTTTTTTCATTGGGCTTCAATCCTGCATCTGTGTGATTTTTTTTCGACAGACTTTCATGTTTCTAGCTCTTTTTTTTTTTAAACCTTTTTTTTTTCCTTCGAGATTGATTTGATTATTAGCAAATCAAAAATTCGAACGTTTTTCGAAACGATTATAGTTACCTATATATATATACTTCTAAGAATGTTTTATTTTCAGTCAACATACTGTGTCCATGTTATTAGCATACTTGACATTATCAACTGTTGTTTTTTTTTAATGGATTGCCTCAGTGATGAAGAAGAGACTCGAGGCGACAGTGATGTGGTTCTAGAGAAGGATGCTGAGAATATTATGGACTGAGCGTGTGAGCAACGGTGAGGTCTTAGAGAGGATGCCCACACATTTTCAATCCTCATGAAATAAAAACAGTAGGAACACTAATAACATAAGTTGCAAACTTTCATTATTTTTATCCTTTTTTTACATGTAGACAATGGACAC